ACTCAAATACTTATTTTTCCATGACTGCTACTTTAGAAAAATGTGAAAGTTCAAATTTATGGGGTCGTTTTTGTGACTGGGTTACCAACACTGAAAACCGACTATACATTGGATGGTTTGGTGTATTAATGATTCCTACTCTTTTGACTGCAACTTCTGTATTTATAGATGAGCTTCGTCGCCAGCTCAAAGAGCTCACAGAGAAGGGATGGATACGGCCTAGTACCTCCCCTTACGGCGCTCCAGTCTTATTCGTGCCGATGAAGGGAGGTACCCTAAGGATGTGCATTGACTATAGGGGCCTCAATGCCATCACCGTTAAGAACGCGGAGCCCCTACCCCGCATTGACGACCTATTGGATAGAGTGCAAGGATGCCGGTACTTTACTAAGATAGATCTAAAGTCCGGATACCATCAGATTGCTATTAGACCTGAGGACCAACACAAAACCGCATTTCAGACCAGGTATGGTCTGTATGAGTTTGTTGTGATGCCCTTCGGCCTATGCAATGCTCCTGGTACGTTCCAGCACGCAATGAACAGGATTATTCATGATTACTTAGATAAGTTTATCGTCGTGTACCTCGATGATATCCTCATCTTTAGTAAGACTGCAGAGGAGCACGTTGAGCACCTGAATACAGTGCTAGGTCTCCTAAGACAGCACCAGTACAGGATAAACTTGGAGAAATGCGAGTTTGGTCGCACCAAGATCTTGTATCTGGGTCATGAGATTTCAGCAGATGGGTTGAGGCCGGAAGATGCAAAGGTGGCCAGCATACGTGATTGGCCCAGACCTCAGACTGTTATTTAGGTCAGATCGTTTTTGGGGATGACGGGCTACTATCGTCCGTTTGTGAAGAGCTATAGTACTGTAGCTTCCCCATTGACAAATTTAACTCGACTGGACACCCCTTGGGAGTGGACTGAAGAGTGTGAGGCGGCCTTTAGGAAACTGAAGTACGCCCTGACACACTATGAGGTTCTTCTTGATCTTGATAAGTCGCTTGTCATGACCACAGACGCCAGCCAATATGGCATAGGCGCGGTCCTTGCGCAAAAGGAGGGGCCCAAGTTGAGACCTATCGAGTACATGAGCAAAAAGATGCCATCTCAGAAACTAGCTAAGTCCACTTATGAGCGTGAGCTCTATGCCCTGTACAGAGCGCTGGTACATTGGAGACACTATCTCCTTGGCAGATTCTTCTATGTGAGATCTGACCATGAGACCTTGCGCTGGATCAAGACTCAGACAATACTCTCTGACGCACTCAAGCGTTGGATACAAGTGATAGACATGTATGACTATCAACTTGATCCAATCAAGGGAGAGTACAATAAAGTTGCTGATGCGTTATCTCGCCGGGCGGATTATCTGGGCGCACTAGTGACTGAATTTGGCATATCTAGCGACTTAACTCGATCATTGGTGGATGCCTATCAACAAGATCCAGGTATGTTTGAGATCATCCGTAGATTCCTAGCAAAGGATAAAAAGACTTTGGACGAATTTACGATGATAGACGGCTTGTTGTTTCTTGAAGGCAGGGAATAAAAGATTGTGTGTTCCCAGTAGTGAGTCTTTGCGTAGTTTATTTTTAGGAGAATGTCATGATGCAACTGGTCATTTTGGCTACAAAAAGACATCAGCAAACTTAGCACAAAGATTTTGTTGGCCCTTATGATGCTAGATGCAAAGCACTATGTTGAAACCTGCCAGGTTTGCCAAAGGGACAAACCAAGGACTCAGGCACCGCTTGGGCTAATCAAGCCCTTGCTGATTCTTGAAGGACCAGGTCAGAGTGTGTCTATGGATTTCATGGACACCCTTGTGACCAGCAGGTCTGGAAAGAGGCACATTTTTGTTATAGTTGACCGTTTTACTAAGTACGCAAGACTGATCGCCATGCCGAAACAGCCAAAACTGACTACGTCATCAAGCTGTTTATGGATAATTGGGTACGTGATTTTGGTTTGCCTACGTCCATCATTAGTGATAGGGATGTGAGATTCACCAGTGAACTGTGGCAGTCAACTGCTGAACAGATGGGCACCAAACTCCAAATGACCTCAGGGAATCACCCTGAGTCAAATGGCCAGGCAGAACAAATGAACCGGGTAGTACAGCACCTGCTTCGAGTCAGGATGACTGGGAGAGAAGTTACCGCTCGTCGCCAGCTTGTACAACAATGTTGTGCACAGTACTACCGGTATGACTCCCAACCAGTTACATCTTGGTTGGAAGCCCAGAACTGCACTTGACTTTCTGCTACCAGAAAGACAATCCACTGCAGCACCTGGCAGCATAGACTTTGCTGTCAAATATGAACAGATGCTGCAGCAGGCCATTGAACATATTAAGAAGTCTCAGGATGCTATGATCGCATCCGAGAATAAGCATAGACGGCCCTCTAACTTTCAGGTAGGTGATAGGGTCTGGGATATCCAGAAAACTGATGCCACAGTATTTCGGGCCCTGGGAGATCTTGGACATTGTAGGGGATCAACCAGATGGGCCTTCATACGTGATTCGTATTCCTGCACACCTATGCACTTACCCTGTATTCCGTGCTTCCAAGTTGGCACCTTTCGCTGCTACAGAGCAATTCCCTTCAAGAAGATCAATGCTGCCCCCAACCATGGACGGCGAGGTGGACATCGATCAGATTGTGGAGCATCGAATGATGCCTGTTCCGAGACCATCAGGCAGAGGGCGCCCTCCTAAACCGAGAATGCAGTATCGTGTGAGCTTCACACATCACCTCGATCCCAAGGAGGATCGCTAGTTCACACGAGAGGAACTCATGAGAACAGCGCCTCAAGTGATTGCAGGCTATGAAAGAGAGAGAAAAGGGAAGAGGCCTGCAGAATAAGAGACTTCTCAGAGGACAAACGAAGTAAAGGAGGAGGGAATGCGAGGATCAGAGTCCTCGGTAGGCCTAAAGGGGCCCTGTTTGCAGCATTGCCCGCTCTAAGTGAAGGCGGAGGTGCCCGCCCTAAGTGAAGGCGGGCCTGACATATCGCAAGAGGCCCTCGACTGAATTTCATATTTGGGGTCCAGGCAGTTGCGACGCGCCAGTTGGTTGACAGAAACTCAGGCCGGGCCACAAAGACATTTCCACGGCCCTCCGGGCTTTTCCAAAGAATGCAGGAACTGGGCGTGATTCACAGCCTCATACAGAGACAGTCGGGCGCCCAACCGAACGAGGCCGAGCAGCCCAGTAGCGGGTGTACACAGGCAGCCTCCTGGGGCCTTCCGGAAGCTTCTGGGCCCAGGGCAGTGCAGCCAGGCTGCGCAAGCAGGCCAGCTC